TTCAAACAAATCATTTGTTTTTTCTTTCTACATCATTGTTTTTGTGGGGCTTGGGCTTGAAAATAGGGCAAATTACAGAAATCACATATTTTTAAGGCAAAATTACAATCTATTCCTTAAAAATTTATAATTACAGAAATTCCTCAAACGGATACAATAATATAAGCGCTGATACATTAATCTGATGCGCAAGATACAATAATATAAGCACTGATACATTAGTCTGATGCGCGAGATACAATAATATAAGCGCTGATACATTAATCTGATTTCTGAGATACAATAATATAAGCGCTGATACACTAATCTGATGTGCGAAAATGAGAGATTTTGGAGATTTGTAAAACTTATAGGGGATAATGGTAATACATAAACTAAAATGTGAGATTTCTGTAATTTTTCCTTGAAAATATCTACTTTCCAACTGAGCCCAAATATTTGGGCCTTTGAAAAACAATGAGCTGCCATATTGTAAAGGTATCTCCAACCCAATCCTCTATTTTACTCTCCAAATATAGAGTTTTCTATTTTTTCAGACAATCAACTCCAACCCAATTCTCTATTTTACTCTCTAAAAATGAATCTTTTTCTCTCTCCTCAATATTATATTATTATTTATATTTCATTCTTATTTTCTTATTTCATAATATAAATCATTTATTCTTTTTGCAAATAATCACTCTATAATCTTTACGTAATACAAATTTATTTTTCAAATTCTTCATTAATATAAAATTATATTTTATTCTAAATTTCTAAGTAACATAAATTGCAATACATATTAACGAACAATTCAAATAAAACTGAACTCATTGATGAAATATAATTGCATCAAAAATATTGTATTATCGTAAAATTTATTTTAAATTTTACATAAATACTCAACTTTTAAGACTATTAGGTTACTCTCATGAATAGGGGTGTGCATTGGTCAGTTCGATTTTATGTATTATCGGTTCGGTTTATCAATTTTTGGTTTTTAAATATGTTAAACCAATAATATATTTTTTATTGGTTTTGGTCCTTAACGGTTCGATTTTCGGTTTAACCAATAAGAAAATATTTATAAAACAAATATATGACTTTAAATTTGATGCGAAAACACAATAATGTAACTTTACAAAAACTCATAAAATAGAAACAATAATAACAAAGATGAAAAGAACTATACAACCGTAACACAAAGAGAAATTAAGAGGAATATGATTCTTACTTTAGATTTTAACGTTTTTTATAATGTGAAATTGTGAACTCAAATCCATTGTGAAGTGTGAATTGAAGGCTAAATGACAAAGATAGTAACTACTAAGGTATTAAGATTGATATATAATATTTATGTACAAGTAAAAGTAGTAAATTACTAGTCTTAATGGGTTATCGGTTTACCTAATAACCCAATATTAAAAACCAATCCCGAACCGATAACCCAATAATTTTTTTAATGAAATCATTAAAAAACTGTTAACCCAATAACCCAATAACCCAATAACAATAAATCAATAACACTTTTATCGGTTGGTTCGGTGTTTGCACACCTCTACTCATGAATGTTCTATTAATGTATTACGGAGTTCAAAATAAGCATTTTTTATCCTTATTTTTTATGTGTAGCTAAATCTTATTTAAATTAACAATTTCGTCTTGTGTCCAATTATTTCGTGTACTAATTTACTTCCCCTATTCCATTTTGAACTATTGCATCAAATATTTGCATGCTCTTTAAAAAGTGTCATTTAATAATTTATCATTATAACATAAAAGTATATTGTTTGAATTATCAGGTAATTTTTGTGCATACTTCATAATGAAAAATAATTCTAATCCAAATTACATATTTAAATGACAAAAAAAATAATTAAAAATTAAATTAGAAAAATTGTTAATTCGGAATGGAAGTAGTATACTTATCAATAATGTTTTAGATGTTATATTACTTAGAAAATAATTACAAATATTAGAGACATAATTAATAATCTTATATAATATAAATAATATTAAAATAACTTTAAATTACATATTTAAAGTGACCATTTCTTTTAAAAAATAAAATAGAGAAATTATTAATTTGAGCGGAAGTAGTAACTTGTTGATAATATATTTTTAAATGTTACGTTACATTAGAAAATAATTACAAATGATAGTAATATAATAGAAATAATATTATAATAATCAAAAAGTAAAATAGAGAGGTGAATAGTAGTTCTCCAAATTTGGAGAACTACTACTCACCTCTCTATAATTGAAGAATAGAGAGTGAAATAGAGAGTGGTTGGAGAACCCATTCTCTATTTTACTCTCCAAATATAGAGAATGGAGAGTAAAATAGAGATGGGTTGGAGATGGTCTAAGAGTATACTATATTGATATGATAACAATTACTTCCTACGTCCAAAATGAATGATAGAAATTTGTGTGGCTGTAAATCATTTCATTAAGGGTAAAATAGATATTTTATAGTTAAATTGTTACTTAATATAGAAATGAGTCATTCTTTTTGGGACTGACCAAAAAGAAAAGTAAGTCACATAAATTGAGACATAGAGAGTAACAAACAACAATGAAAAATAACCAAAACTGAAATACAAATGTTTTTTGAAACCTTAAAAAAAAATTAATATTAGTGTAGCAGTATTATATATTTGTCTTATTTCTAATTCCCTCCATTTAAAGGCACCGAAAAGGTCCCTTTCACGTCCTAATAAGAACGATTCTTTTTTCCGATCACAACATTTCCTTGGCCTGCAACGCTACATATATATTAATAGTTATTTTCCTATCGAAGCGTCTTCTCTTAGGTTTCTTACATGGTAAGAGAGAGTGATATGAAAAATGACAATTATCCTTTTTGGCAATACTTTGTTGGGGCATATAAGGCCCATGACTTGTCTATTTGTCTCACATTAAGACGGGGCCCATGTTTAGTTGGACTAGCAATTAAAGTTGAGCCCATTAGTATGGGCCCACCGGTTCCTTTCGGGTCCATCAATTTTGTCTATCTTCCTTTCTTTTTCCATTTTTGCCCCCCAATAATCTTCTTTCATCATTTTTGAATTAAATGATTTAATGGTACCATTTCTAATAATTACAAAAAGAAGAATATAGTAACAATGTTACAGGTGTATATAAAGTTTAATTTGTTAAAAATATACAGTTTTATTTACTTAAGAAAAAGGTTTACACATTTCCCCTAATGCGCAGTTTGTTATTTTCCTTAGCCAAGTTTGTGGGAATTTTATTTGACCATGAGTGGTTGAGTAATGTATGGGAGCTCAAGACTTTGTAATTTCTAATATTTAGAAAAATATACTTATCCTTCATTAGTTTTGTAAGGGTCTTCAAAGAGATATTTGTTGGTAAAAATAAATTACAGATTAAAAAAAAATGAAGAAAAAATTATTTTCATGTTGAGGCACAAATATATATATGATCACTCTCTTAAGTATTTAGGGAAATTCAGACCCACTGTAACGATATCTTCACTTGTTCGGCAATAATTCTCTTGACTTGTCTTTTCCAAAAAACAACAATCCAACTACATCGATGGCTTAAACAAACTCGGACTAAGTTTTGTTCTAATTGAACATAACAATACCTAATAAGGTGTTTTAAATTGTCACTTTTCATTGTTTTTTTAAGAAAAAGTTATGCATGTTTTTTATCCGTTTATGAGATGGTTGAATTAACCACATAAAATATGTCATCTCTTTTAATTATACACATCAACCTCAAGTAAAAAAACATTTAAAATTCTACGACTTATTGAATTGAATACATATAATTAACTAATAGACGAATAAAAATATATACAAAACGTTTTTCAAAATTTTAATAAAAATATCTAATTAAAACACCTTATTAAAAGTTTACAACACACCTAAAATGATCTAAGATCTAACTACATTCAAATGAAGCAACACGCGTATGTTATCAATCATCACTTGACAAAAAAAGAAGTCTTTAAGTACTTTTATTTTAAAGAACAAATAATTATATATCAAATACTAACAGCTTTAAACATAGGAAACAGTAGTTATTATGCTAGAAGGGTAAAATCTTGCAATCCTAGGATCCATTAGGCATGATTTTACCCTAAAAAAGATTCCTTCTAGGGTTGAATCTAAATAAAAATTTATCTTCATTCAATATTTATATTAAATATAAATAAAAATATATACTCCTATATTAATCAATTATAATTTAGTAATTAAGGTGATATATGTAAAATATATATCAAATTAATATACATGTTTTTTTGAATCAAAAGGAGGCAAAGAATGATGTAGATCACACCAGAGCTAGCAACTCATACATACAGATAGCCTATAGACAACATAACCCTTTTCCTTTTAGTCCTCAAATTTGGACTCTTGCTACCAAAACTTTTGGCTTTTCTTAGTAATTGCCAGTTTGCTTAAATCCTTAGGCAACACTATAATTGGTTAGAGTTATATCGATATTTATAAAATAGAAATTAATTATGAGTGAATTTATGTATTATAGTACATAAATTTTACTTTCTATTTTGCATAAATTCACTCATTAACTTATATCTAAATTATTGACAAACTTGCCTAGCAGAGTAGCTGCTGCTTTGCATGTGTCTGTGTCTGATTCTTGGTGCTTTGCTAGTGATGACTGTAACTTGTACGTGTCACACTCACCAATAATCTTCATGATTAAAAGCCTAAGCTATATCTTACGTAGTAATTTAGTTGGTGGAACTCCCTAATTAAACATTAAAGTTGACGAAAAGGAGAATTCAGAAGCTGAGAGATAAGGACATAAAGCAGACAAAAGATTTTAAATTGGGACTATGTAAGTAAGAAAGAAGAAACAGAAATGGTTGAGCTCACAAGAAGATCAACAATTTACCTTTGTCCGCGTGTCTGAGAGAGGTAAAAAAGTAGTACTACTACTAGTCTAAAGTAAGTGGACAACATCAAACAGTTTGAATTTTTTTTTGTAGAAAAAGAAGACTTTTGAGTAAGACAACCACCAAAATGGAGAGAGAGGAAAAGAAAAAGCAACAAGAGGAAGAAGAATTGTTGGTAGTAAAGTTGAAACAAGGTGTTTTGGTAGGGAAAAGAGGGGGTACTTGTACTACTCCATCACCTACATGGAAAATTGGTTTGGCACAATCTGATGGTTCTCTGCTTCAAGATTTCCCCTTTTCTTCCAATTCTGCTTCACTATCTGTCAGAAAACTTGGTGCAAATCTCTGGGAATTTCAACCACAAGTGAAAAAGGTTGTCAACATGAGCAAGATTGGTCCTCTACCTCAAAATCACAAAGACAAATCTAAGCTTCATAAACAAACAGCTGCCCCACCTGATAGCCCACCACAGCAGGTCAAGTACAAAAAAACTTATTATTATTTTTAAGTCCAAACCCGCATATTGTATTTTTTTTATTATTATATATAAATAGGAGTTGTCTGAGTTCAAATTATTGCTTTTTGCACAACTAATGTACACTGACTCTAGATCCTGAATTCGCCTTAACCATTTTTTGTTATACCATGCCAATTGCCTCATAGGTTAGAAAGACAAACAGAACATATATGTTAGTAGTCAATAGTGTAGGTTGTTGTGTTGATCTTGGGAATGTTTTGTTACTGATAAACTTTCTACAAAGTTCATAGTCTACCAATTTCACTGAAGAGACAAAAGGATGTCTATTTGGTTCATTTCTGCTAAACTATAAAGTGCCTTATCAGAAGGCAATAACCTGATTAGTCATGTTTCTTTTCTGTTTTTGCAGCCAACAAGCACTTGTAGTTTAGGGAGGGATATTGCTGCATCACTTAGACAACATCATCATCATTTAATTGCGAAGAATGGGGACGCTCAATCGCTTGAATCACCTGCAAGTTATTGTAGCTCAATGGAGGTAACTTTTTTCTTTTTAAAGTACCTTTTACCCCTTATTGACTGTAGTTTCAGGAATGAATCAGTACTTTGTAAGGAACGATCAGTATTGTACTTTCTAATTACACATGCTTATTTTTATGGTTCAATTATTCTCTTTTACTCACTCCCCCTCCCTGTCCCTTTCTCGGATTCACAGATTTCACTGTTGAAATTGGTGACTACCTGAAAGTTTCATGTATTTATACATATGTTTAAGCAAATTGAAGTATGATGCCTTTAGTAACACATGATAGTTTCTACATGAGTAAGGGATCATGAAATATTTGGCTTTTGATTTTAGACGTCAGCCGTGGCTAAATATCAGGTTTCATTCAGAAATATGTGCTACGATCAACTGATTTCAGACAAATTTTCTGGTGAACATAATCGGGATATTGTATGTAACTTCTGAAATCCTGATAGTGTTCTCTGAAATTAGCTGGATTTAGTCTATTATGAACCTGCCTTTACTGCTTGAGAAGTAGCCTCTCCTGCAATGAGAAGATTATTGTCTGCACCGTCAAACTTATTTAACCGCATTCAAGTAGTGTCTAAATTCCTTCTGTTCCCTGACATACAGATGGCTCCTTTTAGACCTGTTGAGACTCCCACCAGCTCAAAGGACCTTAAAGGTAGAAGTGGAAAGTCAAGCTACAGCCTGAAAACATCAGCAGAGTTACTTAAGATACTTAATAGGATTTGGAGCCTTGAAGAGCAACAAGCATCAAACATGTCATTGGTGAAAGCATTGAGAAAAGAAGTTGATCACTCCCAAAGACGTGTTAAGGAACTACAAGAAGAAAAGAAAAGAGACAGAGAAGAAATAAATGACTTGGTGATGCTAATTGATGAGTACAGAATAGGAAGAAAGAACAAGTATAACAGACCCGAGGAGGCAGTCAAGACATTGACGGATGAGCTACGAGATGAAAGAAAGTTGAGGAAACACTCAGAGAATCTTCACCGTAAGCTTGCTCGAGATCTTGCTGAAGTGAAATCATCTTTCTCTACTGCATTAAAAGAACTTGAAAGAGAACGCGAGGCACGGAGTATGCTAGAAGAATTATGTGATGAGTTTGCCTACGGAATTAAGGAGTACGAAGAAGAAGTTCGATTCTTGAAAAGCAAAGTGAGAAAGGATCAAATATTGACTGAAGAGAAGGATGGATTGATTATTCATATTTCTGAAGCCTGGTTAGATGAAAGAATGCAAATGAAGCAATCCCAAAGACGTCATGATCCTGCAGAAAAGAAAACAATTGTAGACAAGTTGAGGTCCGAAATACAAACCTTCCTTAAAGCTAGACAATCTAGTGATTACGGGAATAATGTCTTAAACCTGAAAAGAGCAAAGGAGAGTAGTTTATGCCGGCATTCTTTGGAATCCTTTCACTTGAACAATCCTGCAAGTGCCCCCAGAGTAGAGAAGGAAGATGACGATTCATTTGACAACGTTATACGTGCTTCTGAATCTAATAGAGGTTTAAGTGGAAAGCATGATGGCATCAATCAACATGAGGAATTTACTCCAAACATCCATGTCGAAAAAATGAAAGAATCTAATCCAGCACAGACAAAGATTGGAACTCAACTTTCGAAGGACCCTGACGTGACTAGCTCAAGAATCCAACCCGAAGAGAAAATTTTCGAGGCAATGGTGATTGAAGAGACTACTGTTGAAGGTAATGATTCATGTGTGCTTAAGAAACGTGTCACGAAACAAAGAAAATTCCAGAAGAAAAAGAATAGCTTAATGAGAAGCTTCTCTTTGCTGAATAACTTGCTTAAAGATCACTCATTGCCTTATGAAGCTAAGACACTTCCAAATGACGATAAACACATGGAACAGTCTTTCGATCCAACAACATTTACTGGTCCTGCCAGTCCAGTGCAGAAGTGGACATCAAAAGTAACAGCCCCGGATCGTGAGGTGATTGAATCTTCTTCAAAATTACCACTAGGTGTAAAAGAGAATACACTCAAGGCAAAGCTGCTAGAAGCCAGACTCGAAAACCAGCAGTTGCAGCCAAGAGCTATCAAAGGTTTGTCTGAGGTTTCTTGAACTTTAAAATGTCAAAGGGTGTTGATACTTTATCATGAGTTGCTAAGGCTGGCTTTGTGACTCCAAAATTTTGGTACATGAGAAATGAGAACTGTCTCTTTTTTGTAGTTTCAGACTTTTATCTGTAAATGAGAGATGTGTACTGGTTATTAACATAGTCTCTTGTTTCACCTGGAAATTGTTGTAAAGTCTGTTGAAGTATGATTACAGTAATTTCCTTCTAGCTTGAGGCATGTCGTGAATGACACTATAAGAACGATTATACGTATAAGTATGTTGAGAATATCATTAATAATAAAAGTGTGCTTTCTTTAATCGCTTGAACTTTTAGATAAGATGGTGACACTCTTCAACATGGTATCAGAGCAGACAAAGGTCCTTAGATCGAATCTCACCTCCACCCAAAATTTTAAAAAAAATTCACGTGCTTGATTCATAAAAAAGAATCAGGCCCGCAAGTGAGGGGCATGAGATGGTCACACACTTTAACTATATATTTATATATAGGTGATCGAATGTTACGGTCCAAAGATAATGACTCTGAAATAATGGCAATTATATGGATTTAAGACAACCAGAATTGGATTAGGCTTCACACATATCTCGCGTGCAGGGAGAGGGGTGAAAATTCACCTATTTTGCCTTCAGAACCATTTCTGACGTGAGCGAGTTCACTTTTGATTCTCACCTCCTTGTTTGTGAGGGTTCGATTCTAACCAGGAAATTTTAGTAGTTCAAGTGGTTAAGCTATTTAAATTTTCACTTTGTTGATGAAGATTCGATTATCACGTTGTAATCCCTCCTCCTTTTTCCCTTCCGCTGCCCCAATTTTTTAAAAAGAAGACGAAGAAGAGTTCTTCCTGTTCTACGAGTATGCTTATTACGGGAATTAATAAAGCAAAATATCACCGCATGACGTTTCATATATATTTATCTACAACAAACTAAGTTGTAAATAAGAAATGATGAAACATATCTAATTTTTATGTTATTATTATTCAATATTATTTTTATACTCCCCATCAAACAGACAATTTAACTTGTATTCGGTGGTATTGAACAAGTCTAGTCCAGTGGAGGATGGGGACCTACTAATCGGGCTTTTTGGTAAGTTCATAATTAGCTTTAATACTTCTCTAAATGGTTCAAATTAAAGCTAACTTTGACCTAAGAGGAAAAAAGCAGCCTATTTGACCGTTGACTCCTCTCGGTGTATTTTATTGGAAATATTCTTTTCTTTTTATTAATCCGGCATATTTTAAATAATTTATCGATAAGCCATGCCTCATAAAATAATAAATCTTTTGCCAAATAAAGATGTTTCACATTATCAATTTTTAAAGTTTATTTTTTCTTGGTGGAAGAAAATCAAACTGATTAAACACGTGAAACAAAAGAACTAGATGTCATATAGACTGCGCAAAACGTAAAACCGAGTAGATATTTTCCTGCATCAAATTATTAGGCACATATATAGCGTGTTTGTTCGTGTTACGTTTTTTAGTATTTGATATTATAAAGTGAGATTTTGTGTTGTTTGCTTTTATATTATTCTACAAGTAGTATTTTTTTACGGGTCAAATATATCCATGTATTATAAGAAATAGTTTAAATATACCCCTAGTTATATTTTTGGGCTAAATATACCCCTCCGATTATACTTTTGGGCTAAATATACCCTTATAACTAACAGATGACACATGGACAACTAAAATTAAATGAAATGTTCAATTTAAAATAAATTAAATTCTAATATAACCCACCTCATCTCAATAATTTAACCCGGCCTAATTATAACATTGACCCACCCAATTTATATTTAATCTCCTCGCAGCTACTATCGACGACGATCTTGAGGCTCCTGGCGGGGAGCAAGAAGAAATAAAATGATAAATCAACCAGAAATCTCTTAGGTTAAAACCAAATTCCCTCAAATATGTTACTGTACTTGTCACTTTCCCTTTTCATATCCTGTTTTATCATTTGGATCTCAAGATACTACTGTGTTACTCCTATATGTGAATTTGTGCGTGGGTTGACATGCTTAGCTGGAAATTGAATGGAATTCAAAAATATGTGGAGAAGGCAATGCATGATAAGTTAGCATCACTTTTTCATTCAGATATATGGATTCACATTCTTCAAAAAAGTAATTTGTATCTGTAGCCATCCTTTCCTGGAGTTCATTGATAAGAGGACGTGGGTGGATTAACATATAATTAGGCTGGGTTAAATTATTGCGGTGAGCGGGTTATATTCGAATTTGATTTATTTTAAATTGAACATTTCATTTAATTTTAGCTGTCCACGTGTCCTATGTTAGTCATAAGAATATATTTAATTCGAAAGTATAACAGGAGGGGTATATTTAGCCCGAAATATAACCAAAGGTATATTTAAACTATTTCCTATAGTACAAGGGCATATATGACCCTTTGCTGATTTTTTTATGACCACGATGTTCGGGTCAATCTTCGGCACACCTTTAATTTCAAGGATATCCGCCACCTCTCACTAACAATATGTATCATGCAACTCTGTCCACCAAGATTAGGATAGATGAAAAGAACCTAATAGTTTTTGTTTCCACTAAGTTTTGAAACGAGGTCTTATAATTTTCAACCACTTCATTGACTACTAGGTCACATGAATAATGTAATTAATATTGTTTGTTATTTCTCGTTTGGTTCTCTATATAATTTCATTTTTACTAAATTTGACTTGATTTCGAAACTAAAACTTCATTATTTTCTACTATATGTTTGCATAATGAACAATTTCAAATATTTAAAATTTTTCTTGTTCGAGAACGTTATAATATTTTTTAAAACATAAATTTAAAATCTGATTATTCGATAGAATCAAAGCCACGTGTCTATCTACTATAATTCAACCCCCGCGCCCCGTTTTCCTCCGTCTTCCCCAAACATTTCTCCGCCCACATCTCAGAGACATTATAAAGCAAAATCCGCCGGATATTTAGAGAGAAAGAGAATCTTTATAGTTGAGTTTACAGCCATGAAGGATCAGAATTTGGATCTTTTCGACCCGAGAACGGCTGTTATGGACCCGGAATACTCACCGAGCAGTACCCGGGACCCGGATTTTGGCTTTGCCTTCAACGACGTCAACTTCTCCGATCGTCTACTTCAGATCGAGATTATGGCTTACTCGTTCGACCCCCAGTCTGATTCAGATAGCTTTCACTCTCAGAGTCTAGCTGATTGGGCGCGTAATCGCAAACGACGTAGAGAAGATATCAGGAAGGAAATGGGTTTGTCTCTTTGCTCCTTTTTCTCTTTATCTTAGCTATGTAATCGGGCGTTTGAGCTCAGTTGCTTAAGTTTCTAGGTAATTTATGAACTGGGTATCTATATAAGCTTCAGTTGCTTGAGTTTCTAGGTAATTTATGAACTGGGTATCTGTTTGGGCTTCAGTTGCTTGAGTTTCTAGCTAATTTATGAACTGGGTATCTATATAAGCTTCAGTTGCTTGAGTTTCTAGGTAATTTATGAATTGGGTACTTCTGTTACTGAGGATTTTGAGTTGAGAATTGGTGGACCTTGTTTTTGGCTATGGATGATCTCCAAAGTGAAAGGGAGGTTTTGTGTATGGAAATTTGGAACAGTGGGTTTATGTCATACTTATTTGTTGTGGGATTGTGATTTTGCTAGAAAGTGAAAGGAAGTAAGGATTGAAAGAATAAGAAAGGAGTTCTGGTTGCCTTTTGTCATCCATGTTCAATAGTATGATTTAACTGAACTAAAATGATCTTTGAGCTCTTCACATGTTAGCTTACACATGTAACTAATCCTAAGTTGAAGGAGTAAGATTGCAATAGTTGACGGTGTAATGATTGTCTAACTGTAACAAATAATCTGAATGAATGAAAGGAACTAGGTAGAATGGATTGGATAGATGATTCATAAATCCAACCCTAACTAATTCGGGATTGAGGCATAATTCTGTCTCTAAAGGATCTCTGACTCCACTAGACAGCATCATACAGTGTCCAATGCTCTTGTTCTTATATTCAAATGGTCTAGTTGACATTTGATTGTTGTTGTTATAAAATGTGATATAGATGATGTTTTAACAAATTTGTGTTTACTTATTTCTTTCTAAAAGAAGTTGTTTTAACAAATTCTCTTTTTCCGTTTGAAAAAGGTGCTGTTAAATGATTATTACATGTTTTCTTTTTCTTTTGTTGGGGGGAAAGAGGAACGGAGGGAGGGGGTTATGAAATACACCTTTGCTTCCCTTGAAATGAACGTTATGTATGTAACATATTGGTTAGACTTCTGGTTTTGTTATGCTGGCATGGGTTTTTCTTGTTCTATGATGATTACCAGACACGTGCCACTCATTTGCAGCTCTGGATATCACTGCTTGTCCTGAAGAGCAGGTTATAAGTTGTAATCAAATTGATACTGAAGATGTTGAGAACGAAAATCAAGATGAATCAGTTGTTGCAATGATCGAAGAACCACACTCGGGTATTTAAACCAAATCCAGTCCTACATTTCTTTTCCTCCAGCTTCTGTTCTTCGATAAACAATGAGGTTTCTTTAATTTCCATGTATTTTGTCGAAATACTTGCTACTTCAGTGCCACTCTGTTGAATTAAAATATAAAGATAAAAGAATAAAATATAACAGAAACATAATTAAGTCAGAGATATGAAGGGATTGCCAATGAGCCAATAGCTGATCTCTTCGGAACCATGACCTTCAGCTAAGACTGGTTTCATCGTTCTTTATATTTTAAATTTGAATGTGGATGCTTATAAAAGAATTTGTATGCAGATATCGTGTTTTAAAGTATGGTGATCTCCAGGCATACTGTAAGCAATTTTTTTATTTTTTTTTTGAGATAATACTGTAAACAAATTCTAACAGTGTTTCTGTTGCATGAGGACACTTTCCCTTGTTAGGGATGGGTATACGTATAGTAAAAAGGAAAGGAACCATACTTAAAGAGAAGTACATCTTTATTGACCTTTTATTTCTGCTATATGTTGCAGAATAGAGTAGTAGCATTTCTTTGTCTGTGTATTTTGTAACATACTGTTGCATTGTCCTTCACTTTCTTTCTGCTTTCTTGTTTTGAAGCTGATCTTATTGCAGAATCATATGACATGTTCCTCTAGTTGT